GTCCCCACTCCTGTCTTTAAGTGACTCTCCCCCAGCAAATTAAGCTTGTAGGTGCTGGGCAGAGATGCTTTGCCTGAGCTGCAGCACCACAATAAGGCCCCTCTGCAGATTCCCTTTGCAGCCTCGCCCTGCCCTCACATCTCTCCTCCCACCAGCTCCTGCAGTTTCCCTCTGTTTCCCTTTTGGCACGCTGAACATGCACATCCACATCATGTCTGAGGCTTGGCCTAATGCTCCCTCATTTCTTCTGGTTCAGCCTGAAGGCTTTTGCTCTTCAGCTGGAGCAGCTCAGAGTCCCAGGATGCATGCACCCAGCCCTCAACCCCCAGTCCACTGCCAGCCTTGCCGCTAGGCCTTCAGTGCAGCATCCTTGCTCCTGCTTGGAGGTACCTGAGGCAGGACCCTGTGCCATCTGCTGTCACCCAGGGACTGCCATGCTGTCCCCTGCCATTCAGTGTAAGTCCCTGCTTCAGGCTCACTGTGGTTCCTGCCCTGGGCAGTGAAGCATTTCAGCCATTATTAATTAAAATGCAATCTATCCTCTCTCTTCTTCTCCCCAAGCCACGAGGAACTGCTAAAATATTCTCAGGGATAATAGGGAGGGGAATTAAATAGTTACTGTGAAATTCAAGCTGTGCCTTTTGGAGATTGATTGCTGCTCCTGGAGCCTCCGATTCCCCTTTGAGTACTGTGTACCCACAGTCATACTCTGTGCAGACACCATGCCAGCATCAGTGAGATGCACAGCCTGCCTGCAGACATCATACCCAAGGTTCTTGGAGAGGTGTGTCTTTCTTTCTTTCCACAGGGGTGAGCGGTGGTGGCTGCTTTTGTCCCATGGGGGACGAGAAGCACCCAGTTTCAGGGAATGGGGGGCTCTGTTGCTGCGATGCCTGCAGGCAGGCAGTGCAGTGGCACCAGGCTGCAACGGTAGTTCAAGGAGCTCTGGTTGCCATGACAAGCTGAACAAGTACTGGCTAGGAAAAAGGACCCCGGCAGCACTTGGTGGGGATGGGAGCGAGGCAGTGGGCACGGCGGGTGCACACACCTACATGAGCTGTGCATGGCCAGGGGGACCAGTGTGGGTCCAAATTGGGGATGGGGCTCCCAGGGCTACGTGCTTGACCTGTGAGCGGGACTGCTTTTCCTGGATGATGTTTGCATCAGTGGTGCTCTGGGTGTGCCCGTGTCATGGTGAGCCTGTGGTGACGGTGCGGGGCTGCCAGCACGGGTGTGAGCTGAGTGCTTTCTTTTGCTGTGCTGTCCCACATCGAGGTCCTCATGTTTCCCAGCAGCATCAAAAAATGGAGCAACAGCTTCTTTCTCTCCTACATCAATCTCCGGGCAGGGGTTCTTCCAGCAGCCCCTCACCCAGTACTGCCCACATTCCTTGTTGCTCGGGGTCTGCCTGTAGGTTGGGCTGACCCCGCAATGGGTCCCTGGACTCCCCTGGTCCTGGCAGGGAAGTAAACATCCTGCAGGCTGGGGCTGGGTCAGCGTGGGGGACAATCGCCAGCTTCCTCAGTGCTCACGTTTAGAGAATAATTTCCATGAACACAGCCAGGAACTAACTCAGCTGCACAGGCAGGGCCCAGAATATTCGCTGCTCTGTCTGTTTTCTCCTGTTTCTTTCTGTTCTCTTTCCTTTTCTCCTTATCCCCACCCCCAAGCCCTCCATAGCAGTGCCTGACCTCCCTCCTCTCTTTTCAGGCTGGCAGCAGTGTTTCCTCCAGGCCAGCTCCCTGCTGTACCCTTGCCACTAGCACAAGGCTGGTGCCACCTGTGTCACCCATAGCAGCAGTGACAGCATAGCAATGACACCATGATGGTGACAGCTTGCTGCCCTTTCCCAGCTGCAGTGTGACGTTACCCTGGGGACCCCCAGGGCTGGGATCTGGGGAGCAGAGCAGTAATGCAGGACCCATCCCCACTAATTGCACCCACATCCCATATCCTGCTGCCACCACCCCTGGCACCCACATGTTGTTTATGTCCTGTGTCACACTGAGAGAGGTGGGGAAACAGTGTGGGGCAGCTGGATCAGTAATTGGCTGTGATCAGATTAGGGCTGGATTAGGGTGGTGGCACACTAAGGACTCGCTGTAAGCTGTAGATGGCTGCTGGGATCCCAGCCCTACCTACTCTGCACTTCCTAATGATGCTGTGCTCAGAGTCCCCCAGCTATTTCGAGGCAATTTGGTGATCTTCCAGCTGGGTCCTGGTGCACTGTAGCTGGGATGCGCACACCTGCACTGTGCCTCACCAGGCTGTGCACAGCCCCAGTGCCCTTCCCCAACAGCAGAGCTGGGCACAAGCACACCCACGGCACCACCCGGCTCCCAGCTCATCCATCCCTTCCTCCCACAGCATTTTTACAACCATGGCCGAGCTCCTCCCACCCTTGGCCACCGCAGGACGGGCCCTCAGCCCCACTGTGATGAGAAACTCACATCCACACCTTCCACCCTTCCTCTCCACAGGGGCAGCAGGGCTCCTGCAGTGATGGGAAATCCTGCTCCTCGCCTACCACTGCTCTTCTGCTCTGTCTGCAGAGTGAGGGGATTTGGGCTCCTGTCCCCAGGGTGCAGCCTCTCCCTCCCCATCTCCCTGCAGGGTCTCCTTCATGCTCCCCAGCCCACCTAGCACAGCACATCCCAACTTCTCTCTCAGCACCAGCACTTCCAGCAGAATTCCTTCCTGGCCACTCACTGCCACTCCTCAGCCTTGACGCCTCTGGCCTGGCACGCTGCCTTCCTCTTCCCGAGCTGCCCAGCCCCATCCCGGCCTTCACCTCCACCCACCCCAGGGCTGCAGCACTGCAGGGTCAGGGTGCCCAGCTGCATCACCCTTCCCAGTGCCACCGCATTCCCACGTTGCAGACCAGCCCCAGCAGCACCCACCTGCTTCAGTTTTCTGGTTATTAATTAAAAGGTGAATGCTTTGCTTCTTTTACAGTCCAAGCATTGTGCAAATATTAATTAACGGCAATTAATTACATCAGGCCTCCACATCCCCCTGCAGAGATGCTATCTCATAAACATAGTGATAGCAAACACAGCATTGAGTTGGGTGGGAGCCTCCCATTACCTGTTGCTAATGGTACAAAACCCACCTGCAGCAGTTGCCTAATTGGCCTTACAATTAGAAGACCTAACAGGCAGGTAGAGGGAGATAGGGGTAGGAGCTGGCCTGAAGGATGATGGATCTTTATCCATCTATGCACCTTGGCGTGCTGCCATGCAGGAAGGGGTGGCACCAAGCTGCTCTGGTGCTGTCCAGGGGCACTGCCTCTCCCCAGCGCAGGCTCTTAGCCCCTTGTTTGCATACAGCCGAACCAGCACAGGGCACTGGGCTCTGACCGGAGCTGCCACCTTAATCCGGATCAGCAGAAATCTGCCACGTGCCCACGCGTGGTGCGCTGCCGTTGCGGTCTGCCAGTCTGGTGCCAGCAGGGACGTGCGGCAGCCCCGGCCCCGGGCAGCACGACGGCACTAATCGCCGGGCGGAGCCAGCTCAACGTCCTGCTATATAGCAGCAAACCGGGGTGAGATTATGGCGTTCCTCAGGCAGTGCCCACCCCCTCGTCCCGGCTGCTGGATCCCAGCCTGGAGGCCGCTAATGCTACTTACATTATTAGGGGATTATTTGGGTGTAATGAGCTTTGCCCCGCTCAGCTGTCCCCTACACGGAGCTGCAGGGATGTGTGACACTTCCTGCGTGGGGCCGCTCCCAACCAGGCACGGCCCGCTGAAACAATGCCGTAATGTTCCTGGTGAAAAATTCCAGCATGAGGCCAAGGTTAATCCCAAATCAGGAGTGCTGGGCTCAGCTCTGAATAAAGGCAGTGCCAGGATGGCGGTGGGGCTCGGAGCCGGGTCCTGGCACGTCACCGTGGGTGCCAGTAGGTGCCACAGTGAGGCAGTGGGTGCCCTTCTGTCCTCCAACCCTTTTCCTTTCCTCCCACCAAGCACAGGGGTTTGGAGATCTGTTGCTATGGCCACAGAGAAGTTTCCCCTGGAGACTAAGAAGCTCCAAACAAGTGATGCCTGCACTCTCTGACACCGATTTCCCCCCTTTTAAAAATTATTATTAATGTTTAGTGAAGTGTTGATTTAATTTGCAGCCTCTTACCACCCCGCTCCCCCCACTGCTTTTCCGGCAGTGGATTGCTGTGGCAGTGTCCCAGGGCTCAGCTCCCGCCTTGTTCTGCGCAGTGAGAGCACAGCATTCGTGCGGGGGAACGTTCCAGCACTGTAACTCCTGCTGTGCTGGACACCCCTCCAGGATGGGAACCCCCTTAGTGGGGTCAGTGCAGGGCATTGCACCACACTGCAGCGCTGTGCATTCATTGAGCGTGTCCATGGGCACTTGGCCTTTAGGATGGGCTTTTACCGTGAGACCATCTCTAATGTTACTTTGACTTTTCTTTCTGTGCTTTACAAGCCCATAATGGGCTGTTTCTGTTCCCTGTCACCTGATCTGCCCCTTGCTGAATGAAGAGCTCTGCGATGAGTGCACTCCTCTGTCCCACACCTGTCCCCTCGCCCCTTGAGGTGTGCACACCTCCGATCGGCTGCTTCTCCTGTTCCTGGGAACAGAGCACAGTGCCTGGTCAGGAAGCCACCCCAGCCCTTTGAAATCCCTACCCCTTAATAGTTGGCCTGCCCAAATTGCAAGTTGCTCTCTGAACTCTCAGCAAACGAGCACTCTGCTTCTTGGCTGTGCCCACAGCTCACAGCGATGGACAGCCCAGAGCTGCCACTTGCAGGTGGAGCGGGGAAAGCAGGAGCTCCTCCTTGCAGCATTTGCTGAGTTCATGTCTGGGGGCTGTGCTGAGACAGCAGAAAGCCCCTCTGCTCGATGCAGTTCCTGCCCTGGATGACTGTCAGCAGCATCGTTGTCCATAGCAGGGGTGTCAGTGCCGTGACGCCTGGCCAGGCTGTGTCCCAAATGCTAACAGACCCTTTTCCTCCCACTTTTCCTTCCCTCCTTCCTGCCAGCAGTTCCCTACCAACAAAATCCCTACACCGCCGGGAGCGGCTCCACCGTCATCCAGTGCTACCGCTGCGGGGACACCTGCAAGGGCGAGGTGGTGCGTGTCCAGAGCAACCACTTCCACATCCGCTGCTTCACCTGCCAAGGTAGGACGGGACAGGTTGGTGCAGTGCTCACAGTGTCCCTGAGTGTTGTCAGCATCACCAGGCTGTGTGCAGGAGTGGCCAACACCTTGGAACTGCTGCTCCCTGTGAGCTAAGTGAATGCCACCAAGCACATCTGGGGGGCTGCTGTATGCTTCAGGTGAACAGGAGGATGAGGGGGTGCCACCAGCCTGGCTGAGCTGAGTTGTAGCAGGGGAGATGGCCAGGGCAGGCAGATGGCACAGCTGTGCTCGAGGTGCCGCGGATACTCTGTGCTCAGCTAGGACTCAACTGCCCCAGGAGGCTGTGGAAATAGAGGGGAGAGGTTGCTTGTCCCCTGAGGACGGGTGCAAGAACAGAGCTGGGGAGCTATAAAAGCCAACAACCCAGAACTGATGCTGCAGGGCTCCTCAGCGCATTTGTGAAAGCAGCCGCTCTCCAGCAGGCCCACGGCTGGTTCTGTGCATTGTAAAGCATCTCATTACCGGGGCTTTTAAAGGTCTCACAGCACCCTGTGCTAAGCAGGGCACATATCCTGTCCCCTTGGCCATCATCTTGCCATTCCCCCAAGCACCCGGGGCTCAGCAGGAGGGGACAGTCCCCTGGGGCTGTCACCACTCTGTACAGCCCTGGCTTGCCTTGGGGGCCAATGTGCACGGCCCATGCTGAGCTCCTCCCCACCCCTCTCCAGCTCTGGTGTCTGTGAGCAGAGGGAAGCTGCTTGCTCAGACAGCCGCTGGCTTCAAAGGGCACAGAGCTGCTGGAGAGCTTGGCACAGTTCACTGCCTGCTCTGCGAGTGAAAGGGAATAAATAATGAGAGGAAATCCTCCTGTCTCACCTTCCCTCTCAGCCCTTACCCCTGCCACTGGCTGCTGCCAGCTCCCGTGCCAGCCCTGAGGCTTGTCCCCGTGTGTCCCCTGGAGTGTGGCACAGCTGTGAGGATGTTCTCTGAGTCCCACAGCAAACAGGGTCTGATCCTTCCTCAGGTGTTCATGCTTCTGCTTCCCGATGCCACACAAGAGCTGGGGGCTGCCTGCCTGTCCTGTACCTCATCATTTGGTGGGATGGGTGTTATGCATCATGTCCAATGGTCCCTGTGCAGTCCCTGCTGTGCCTCCCAGAGTATGAAGCTCCTGGGGTCTGTGTAGACGGAAAAAACGTAGGAGGGAGATGACACCAAAGAGCAGGGCTTGCCGTGTCTCCTTGCATCACGCTGACGGGCCGTGCACCACTCACAGCTCCCACCGGAGGGGATGCAGCAGGGCTGGGCTGGGTACCGACGGACAAACAGCAGTGCGAGCAGCTCCTCCGGGAGCCGCGTCCCGCACCCGCGCGGCCCAACACTGACACCTGCTGGTGCTGGACCGGGTCTCAGCGGGGAACCCTCGGCGATACCCGCGGGCAGCCGGCCCGGCGCTGCGGCCGGGGGACGCCCCCCGCCCTGCCCGCGGGTCCCATGGCCGAACCCCGTGCTGATGGCTGCGTGTCCCCCCCGCAGTGTGCGGCTGCGACCTGGCCCAGTCGGGCTTCTTCTTTAAGAACCAGGAGTACATCTGCACCCACGACTACCAGCAGCTCTACGGCACCCGCTGTGACAGCTGCGGGGACTTCATCACCGGGGAGGTCATCTCGGCGCTGGGCAGGACCTACCACCCCAAGTGCTTCGTCTGCAGCACCTGCAGGTGGGACATCAGGCACACGTGGGGGCACGCTGCTTTGGGGGCTCATCTCATACGCTGCATCTCACGTGTCCCTGTTCTTCTCCTCGGCTGCAGGAAGCCGTTCCCCATTGGGGACAAGGTGACGTTCAGCGGGAAGGACTGCGTCTGCCAGAACTGCTCCCATTCGCTTATCAGCACCAAACCCATCAAGATCCACGGGCCCAGCCGTAAGTCGGTCACTAGGGTGTGATGTGAGGGACCCCAGGGGCTTCTGTGGGCACTGCTCCTCAGGCTGACAGGGCTGTGTGCACTCTCCCTGATGTCCCTTTGTAACCCTGTCTTCATGCCCTCTAGCAGGGTTTTGGCTGTGCCCATCATAACTGGGGTGGTGCTGGGCACAGGTGCCGGTGCTCGGGGATGGGAGGGGCTTTTGGGGCTGGCATGCAGCACGGCACGAGCATTTGGGGAGGTTTGGCAGGAGGAGCAGAGCAGCCTTTGTTTCCACCCAGGGTTGCAGGTCAATGCTGGTTTCGGAAACTCCTTTGCCCTGTGCTTGACCTGGGTGGGTGCTGCTGTCTTGTCCCTGTGTGAGCTGCTTGTGCTCCTTCCCTTGTGTTGCTGATACCAACTTGAAACTCAGCAGGACCTGGGGGAAGGCTGCACTGGGTGGGTTTGGCCGGCCTTCACTATGACCTCCCATGAGTTTGGGGATGTGGCTTCATGGTGAGCCCCAGGCACAGCACAGGACTTCCCCACCTTCCTCCATCCCCACGCTGAGCCCCACGGATGAGCTGGCAAGAGCTGCTCGTTGCCTCCTTTAGCGGGGCCATAGGAAGGGGAAAGGCAGCCATATGCTCGGCCTCTCATCAGCTTCCTCCTTTCCCACCCCTTCCAGCCAGTGCTCCCTGGCCAGCAGAGTAGGGTTACCCAAGGGCACTGTGCTTTGTTCACAGACAGCAGCCAGTTGTATGGTGCCTTGGGGTCCTGGCACTGCCACCCAGGGGAATGGCAGGGAAGGAATGCCTCTGCAGGGCTGCCACCTGGGGCTGCTGCTATGCTCTTCAGGAGAACAGCCCTGGGAGCAAGGTTCTGTGCCTCTCCCTGCAACTCCAGATTGGGGAGCAACCTGAAAACCAGGCAAGCAGCACTTCTGTGAGGGAAGGACCAGATCCCAGCTCAGCTGAACTGCCCGCCTGTTTTCTGCCAGGGGCTCACCCAGCTTTGCTCCGTGGGCAATGGCTTGGTGTGGAGCTGCCCAAGGCTGGGCTATGCAGAAGGCCTTGCTCTGCTTGCACAGTGCCTCAGGAGGGAGGAGGGCAGTGAGGAGAGGGTTAAGGAGCAACACTATGGAACCTGCTGCACCGGGGCAGAAGAGGATGAGAAGCCAAGGTCAGGGGTCCAAGGCCCATGTGCTTCCTGCTCACAGCCTTGGCAGGAGCCAAGAGTAGCAGGGAAGGAAGGGAGTCTCGTAAATACTGTGCTGGGGCCGGATGCAGTGATGGAGAGCGCAGCCCTTCCTCTACTCTGCTCTGCTGAGCACTTCCCATCCCTGTGCCCCATGGGAGCCCTGGGCAGCACAGCCCCACAGAGCCCTGGCCAATGCCATGGTGCCAGCCCCAGCAGAAAGACTTCCTCCCGACTCATTCTGAGGACAGGCAGGGGCAGGTGATATCTTCCATCTGTGGTGCAGGGATGATCCCCCAGGGGCAGAGTTTTCATCCGTTCCCCCTCCTTTTTGCCCCCCTACTCCAGACTGCGCAGGCTGCAAGGAGGAGATCAAGCAGGGCCAGTCCCTCCTGGCACTGGAGAAGCAGTGGCACGTCAGCTGCTTCAAGTGCCAAACATGCGGGATCATCCTCACCGGAGAGTACATCAGCAAGTGAGTGCTGCTGGTCGAGCTTGGCTGGTCTGTCTTTGCCTGCTGGTGCTGCAGTGAGCATCTGCCTATGGGCAGCTGGCTGTGGGTACCTGGCTATGGGCACCTGGCTATGGGGGGCAAAGCAGCAAGTGATAGCCCATTGAGCAGGTGACTCTCAGGTGTGTGGTGGGATTTTGGCGGTGCAAGGAGTTCTTGGCCCTGCTTACCTGCCTTACCCATCTCCTTCCTCTCCTGAAGGGATGGAGTCCCATACTGCGAGTCTGACTACCATGCGCAGTTTGGCATCAAGTGTGAGACGTGCGACCGGTACATCAGTGGCAGGGTCCTGGAGGTGAGTCCTGGGGCCACGGCCGCCTGTCCTGGGCTGTAATAGGGACAGTCCACCCAGAAGTGTGTGTCTTGGGGAGCTGTGGGAGAGTCATCACTGCCATCACATTATTCCTCCCTCTGGGCCGTGGGCAGTGGGTGTGTGGACACCTTTGTCTGGAGTGTGGTAGTAGAAGGAAGAGCAGCACCACACTGCAGACCTTTGGTGTTTGGTACCAAAGCACCCAGTGCCATGGACATGCCCCACATGTGGAGACTCCAGCTCTAACCAGCTACTGCCATACCTGTCTCCAGAGCATCCCCAGCCTGCAAGCACATCCCTTGCAGACTGCTGGTTGCCTTGGAAACACATCCAGCACAGCCACCCACCCAGGTGAGGGCTGCAGCACCCAGCTATCCCTGTCTCCCCCCCCAGCCAGGGCCCTGTCCTGGGCCAGATTCAGAGGTGGCTTTGCCTATTGGCCAAGTCTTGGCCAGCAGGAGCTGCTTGTGCCAAGCTGCTGTGGGATGCAAGGATGTCATGGGGATCCAGCAGCAAAGATGAGTGCAAGCAGCCATGGTGCAGGTTTGAGGCAATGGAGCAGCTGCACAGCCTGCAGCAGCCAGCAGGTGGGAATTGCTGCCTGAGGGAGGACAGGTCCTTCAGGGCCAGTCCTGCAGCCCCTGCTCCTGGAGTGGAGGATGCAGCCATGCTTACTGTTCCTACCCAAATGTCTGCAGGGGATAAAAGGCTGGAAAACCCAGCCTGATTGTAATCCAAAGGGTCAGAAGGTGGGAGGCAGAGAGAAAGATGTCAGAATAAAACATGCTGTGGTTTTTAGATCCGCTGGTGTTTCCGTGGAGCTGAGCTGTGGCAGGATGGGGAGGTAGTAATGCTGAAAGCGTGTGCAGCTGCTGCTGAGACCTGGAGCTGCTGGGTGGGGGAGTCACTCCCAGGGCAGCACTGTACCCACCTCTCTGCCATTCCAGAGACCCCTGACAGGGAGCAACATCCCCAAACCCGGGGTACCACAGCTCTACTGTGGGCTGAAGAAGCAGTGGTGCAGGCAACAGCTGAAGGAGGGGTCTGGAGCCTGCTGAGAGCTGGGACAGGGCACCTCCAGCCTGGGTCACCCACAAGAAGTAATCAGCCACCCCCTCCCCCCAGTTCCCGTTAGCTGAGCTGAGAGCACCAGGCCTGGCCAGGGAACCTCCCGTGAGGCTTCAGCCAGGGCTCTCCAGCATCTTGCTCCCATCCTTCTTCAGGAGCTCCTGAGCCCAGGAATGCTTTCTGCTGACTTCAGTCTCCAGCGCTGGCTGCTGTGAGCATGAGCTCAGAACTGCAGCAGCTGCTGTGGCCAACTGCCCAGCATGGGGCGCTCAATTGAAAACCCCAGAAAGGAGCAGGGCAAAGCCAGAGCTTCCTGAGCTCAGATCCTGCTGGCAGCGCTGGATGGCACCACTGGCACTGCTCAGTGCCTGCCGGAGAGCTTCCTCCTGGAGCCAGGGGTTCCAATCGTCTTCTCCAGCAGAGCACAAAATGAAAAGGGCGCCTTTAAATAATGTGAGGCCTTAACGAGCCTTCCCGTGCTATCCATCAGCTGCTGGGTTTTCCTAAGGGCTGAAGCTGTGCAGCCAGGCACGAATGATTAATGAGTCTGTAAGGGACCCTGTGTGATAACAAGCAGATCTCGCCACCCACAGCTTCTGCCACCCTCTTATAAGCTGTAATGTGAATCAGTATAGTAGAGGAAAAGCATGCACACTTCTGGGATGTCTGCCTTTGGAGGGATGGGTGGTTGCTCAGGCTCTGCACTTCACAATGGATGAGGCCCTGCTCCCCCTGCCAGGTCTGGTGCACTTCCCTGCCAGCCTACCGCAGCAGCACATATGGACAGACAGGAAAAGATGTGTGTGTTATTTCTTAGTGTCAGCACACTGAGCCACTGAGGGGTCTGAAAGCACCGACCTCACTTGGCTGCAGCACATCCTGGCTCCAAGAGGGACCAGAGGAGCAGCAGAGCATCTGGGAGGATCTGTGTCTCTGACATGAGCTGTCTCCAGCAGCCCATAGTCCCATTCCCGTATGGGAAATATGGAACTGCAGATACAGTGGCCATGGTGTTTAGGAGCTGAGGCTTAGCTGCATTGTTTTCAGTCTCTTTTCTCACAGCTTACAGCTGAATCCTCCGATTGACACAGTGATGGTGGATCCCTTTTGGCACAAATCAGAGGGGAGAAGCCACTGACTGCCATCTGTGCCCTGGGAGGATCAGTTTCCTGCTGATTTTATGGGCAACCACCTCTTCTCTGGCACTTCCCGCTAATCTTCACATCAAATTTTTCTATTGATCTTCCCTGCTTCATACTGTTCCCAACTCCCCCTGTCACTGCCATTCCTATTATCAGTGAGAGCCTCATCTTCCTCATCTTCTGCTGCCCTCAGTCACCCTGCATACTGGTTATTGCAGGAATGCAATGACCGGTGGGGCTGTGCCCTGAGCCAAGGCTCCCAGACCCACAGGTCGGGTCTGTTTCTTGCATGAAACACGCTCTGCTTTTCTCTACTTTGTGTTGCTCTCCCTGAGGTTTTGCCCCTGAGCATGCCCAGGCCCTGCCCCACTCAGGCTGTTCCCTTGCAGGCGGGTGGGAAGCACTACCACCCCACCTGTGCCCGCTGCGTGCGCTGCCACCAGATGTTCACCGAAGGAGAGGAGATGTACCTCACAGGTAAGAACTGCAGCCCTGATGGGGGCTGTGCCCAGTGCAGGGAACCCCAGGACCCCTTCCCACCTGTCCCACCTCCCCTTTGTCTGGGTTACACTGAGCATCTTAAGGCTCTGTCTGCTCAGCTGCTTTGGTGCTGGCAGGAGCTCATTCCAGCCTCCATAGGGACCATTCCCAGCTGCAGTGCTGCTGGGGACAGCATAGCCAGATCCCACTGGGGGACAGCAGGCTCTGGGCAGGGGCAGGAGGTGGTGAGGCTGGGATATGCAGGGACAGGACGGGGCTGGGGACGTGCAGGCACACAGCTGGGTGATATCTAGCAGTGGGTGCGAGCTGTGCACAGAGCTCAGGTGCTTTCCCTCTGCACTCCAGGCTCTGAAGTGTGGCATCCCATCTGCAAGCAGGCAGCCCGGGCAGAGAAGAAGCTGAAGGTAGGTGGCAGTCAGAGGCCTCTCCAAAAGCTGCAGGTCCCAAGTGCTGACCCGAGACCCTGGGCACTGCGGGAGCACTGCCCCAGTCCAGGGTGGTTCCTTACCCTGCAGGAGCTTCATTCCTGAGCAGCACTCAGCACTATGCAATGTCTGCTGCTCCTGGCTGTGACCTGCCTGGCTCTCACTGGTCCTTTCTTTTTGGCTCCACAGCACAGAAGGACATCAGAAACCTCAATCTCGCCACCCGGCTCCAGCATCGGCTCCCCCAACAGAGTCATCTGCGTAAGTAGATCTCTGACCTCAGCCCCACAGGGCAGAATTGAGGCTGTGGCCATGGGTTTGGGGTGATCTGGAAGGAAGAGTGACAGTTCCCACCCTTGTGTTTGGGAACAGCATGGACAAGTCATGTCCCCTCTCCCCATTGGCAGTAGGGAGCACCCAGAGGGACACTGTCCCACTGCCCTCCATCCCCGCCCCTCTGCCCTGTCCCTCTGCTGCCTCCTCTCACCTCTTCTTCCTGCTGTGGTGCTCGGGCTCTACGTGCTGGTTCTGTGTACTGTGTGCTCCATCTTCCCCTTTCCTCTCTCCTTTTCTCCCTTTCCGTCCTTTCTGTCTCTGTCTCTCCCTCTCCCTAGGCTAAAGTGGATAATGAGATCCTTAATTACAAAGACCTGGCAGCTCTTCCCAAGATTAAAGCCATCTACGAAGTGCAGCGTCCTGACCTCATTTCGTACGAGCCCTATCACAGATACACGTCGGATGAGACGCTGGAGAGATATAGCTATGGGGAGGTACTGAGCCGGGACGTGCCCAGAGCCGAACCCCCATTTGGGGACATGGCATGGGGCTTCACTCACTTCTCAGGGATACCAGTGGGCACACAGGAAAGGGGATTTCTCCCCAAGGCTTCCTTCCCATCAGCAGGTACTGAAGTCACTGTCAAGAGTGAGGTGGCATGGAGCTTTCCCATAGCAGCTCATGGGCAGGAGGGCACAGAGGGACAGGATTTGAACAGATCCCACAGAGAGCGGGGGGGAGGTTGAGGTAGTCCTGACAAGGGCTTTGTAATGTGCTGCAGCCACATCCCTCTCATCCCTAGTCCCAGGGCTTGTCACCCCCAGTCCATCCCCCCCAACAGCTGTCATGAATCTGCTCTCACCGAGTGGGCTGTGCCATGGGAAGCAGAGCTGCTGTGTGGCCACCACCGTTAACCATGTGCTGTCTCTCTCTATCTCTCCTCCCTGCCTCCCGCTGTCTCCAGTCCTTGGGGACCCTCTCCCCGTACTCGCAGGTAATGGCACTGCAGACCTTCATCATCCTGCTGTTACTATGGGGCTGTGCTGAGCATCCCCTGCCCGGTGCCAACCCGAGGTTGGGGGACATAGGGACCCATCCCAGGGGACTGCTCCTGTCCAGCCCCAACTGGACACACATGCACTCAACAGCATCCTCAGCCCAGGATGCTTACCTCATCTCTCACCCTCAGCTCTAACCTTCCAAACCTCTCCTTGTCCCCAGGACATCTATGAGAGCTTTGACATCCGGCAGAGGCGAGCCTCCAGCCCTGGCTACATCGACTCCCCCACCTACAGCCGGCAGGGCATGTCCCCCACCATCCCGAGGTCCCCCCACCACTTCTACCGCTCAGGTGAGGATTTGGGCTGTGGCTCCAAGGACCCCTCTGGTCTTGGCCAGGGACAGAGGAGGAGCGATGGGTGCAGGTGGTGACCTGTGCTGCATGCAGCCTGTAGTTCTGCCACCCTCTGTGCAAGCCGCAAGGGAAGGCTGAGGGGGCTCAGAGCTGAGGATGAAGGTGGCCCCAAGGTCCAGCAAAATGTAGAAGAGAGCAGCCCACTCAGCTGGCGTGGTAGTTCTGGGGCTGTGCATGGAGCACTCATGCTGCAAGTGCTGCTCTGGATTGCAGAGCTCAGCTGGGGAGGAACACGCTGTGTCTGCCCGCTCTCCTGGCATCTGGAGCTCGATAGGAATGCACTGCACAACCTGAGGCAGTGTGTCCAGAGATGCTGCCTCCTCCACCATCCCTGCACCGCACCACTCACCACTGCATCACGCACAGCCTTCCTCTCACCAATGGTGCTGCCAATGGAGCACTTCCACATCTGTCTTATCAGAAGATGCAGGGCATCTGCTCCATCATGGCCCATCCTGGACCACATCACCCTGTCACCTCACTACACAGGCCATCCCCTGCTCTTCTAACACCGCTGCCTTTAACACCTGTTTTCTTCTGCCTCTTGTTCTTTCTCTCGGTCACTTTTGGCTTCTTCTGCTCGGCACCACGTAGGCACAGAGAGTGGGCGCAGCTCTCCCTACTATAGCCAGTTAGATGTGAGGTCTTCTACTCCAACCTCATACCAAGCACCCAAGCATTTCCACATTCCAGGTAGGCTCTGGAGCCCCTGGCCCAGGGGAAGCACCGTATGTGTCGCATGCCCGCATGTGCCATCCCCTGTGTGCTGCATGCGTAGCTCCACCGCCTGCCTAGAGCCAGCTGGCAGCAGGATCTACCCTGGTAGAGGCCATCCATAAGCAGGACCTGCAGCTTGAACCCTCCTCCTCCCTGTCACCACCCAAACGTCTCAGAGCCTTCCAGTGTCTGCTTGTCCCCTTGTCCCCATGCCCACCCTTCCTCTACCTGCACATCTCAAGGAGCCCCTGCAGAGGAGCCATCCTCTGCCCTCTCCCCCAGGACCATGAGGCAATGCGTGTCAGCCAGGGGCCGTTCTGCTCTCCCCCTTAAAGATGATTATTTTATACTCCCCCTAGGGCCCGCCGCTCCCTCCCCCCAGGCTCTTCTGGGCTTGCCAGCTGCCTGCTGCCCTTCTGCAGGGATTGCAGGGGGCCACCAGGTAAGGGCCACCACCCACTCCCAGAGCCCACGGGGATGGGTCAGAGGGGGGGCAGTGGGCGGGAAGCAGGCAGAGCACCATCCATCCCCTGCCCTGCAACAGGCACTTCCCACCACTCTGTCCCACCATGGGACCCCCAGTGCCCAGAGACACCCTGCACCACAAGGACACCCTGACCACACTCCCACCCCATCCCCCCACCCAGCAGGTCGGTGCTTTATGGATGGCCCCCTCAACCCTCCGCCAGCTTGGCACCAGGCGCTGGCTCGCTTTCCCTCCCAGCTGGCTCTTCTCTCTCTCTGCTGCGGAAAGAGGCTTTGGCTGAGTTTGTTGTGCCCCAGGTAGCTCGCAGGTGGTTCTCGCAGGTGTTCTCCCCCATGGTGCCCAGCTGCAGGCTGGCAGGGCCGGTGGTGCATCTGTGCCCCCCGTGGTGCATGCTGACCGGGCGCTCGCTGCATGGCACTCATGCATTGCCACCTGCCCAGCTGCGGTGGAATCCAGCCTGGATCTGGCTGGATGCTGGGGCTGCACTGGAGGCTGCTGCGGGGCAGCATCTCCTGCAGGACCACCGTCCTGCCCCCGCTGCAAGCTCGCACTGAGCTCCTCTCCATGCTTCTTTCCTCCTTTCTTCCCTTTCTCTATCCAGCTGCTGGTGAGAGCAACATCTACAGGAAACCTCCCATCTACAAGCGGCATGGTCAGTCTACAATCTGGGAGCCAGGCATGGTGGCTCTCAATGTGGGTGATGGATAGGGGCATGGTGGGAGATGCAGGCAGGAGTTGGGGAGCGGGGCTTTGCGGATGGTAATGCTGCTTCCCCTCTGAGCAGCACAGTACAGGGCACAATGCAAGGAGCAGGGTGGAGGGGAGGGCTGCTAGCCATGGGGCATCCTTGGGAGGGGGAGTGAGGACACAGGGGGGTGGCAGAGGGGATGAGGGTGACACCAGGAGTCAGAGCAGCCCATGTAAAGGGCTGCAGATGGCGATTTGCAGTTACACACGGAGCCCTGCAGGAATAACATAGCCCATCCTGGATGGCTGCTGCATGTTGAAATGCACCCAGGAGGCTGGGGAGGAGGAAGCCTGGGATGGTTCATGGCTCTGCTGGGCTTGTACTCTCTCTGCTTGCTGACATGTGTAGCTGGGCTGCAGATGCCTGAAGTAGTAACTGTGTCTCCTCTCTCTCTGCGGGCTCCCTTTCCCACCTGCCTGCTGCCTTGCTGTCTGCCTGCACCTCTGCTGTAAGTAGCTGCTGTCGGTGAGGTACCCTGTGCTTGGGTGGTGGGCTCTGCCTGTACCTCCCTTCCCCTGCTGCCTCCAGGACAGTCATAGAGGGTGGCTGGAAGAAGCCAGGGGCTATGCATGTTCTCAGTGCCCATCCCCCTACAAGTGTCCTGGCCTTGGGACTGAACCCCTTCCCCAGCTGCTGGGGTCCCCCCCCTGCTCTCCATGGTGACCCGTTGGCTGCCCCAGAGGGACTGTGCCCTCCTCCATCTCTTCCTGCATGAACCCTGCTGTGTGCCTGTGCAGCCATAGCCCTTGGAGAGGGGACAGCCTGGGGACATGGTGCTGCTGGCACTGAGGCTGCTGGAGTGCCAGACCCTGCACTGGAGACCATTGTCTGCCACTGCATCCTTGTTTTCAGGAGGTGTCAGTCATTTGAGAATGGGTTATTTCCAGCTCTGCTCTGAGCTCTCCCAAACACAATTTATTACAAAGTGCTGGGAAGAGAGGAGGGTTTGCTTTCATCCTGGTGTGGAACTTTTATAAATGTGATGTCCCTGTTACAGCTCTCCATTCTCCTTTTGCAGACAACGTCCCTGCAGCCACCAAAAGCAAAACCAGTGAGGACATTGCACAGACATCCAAGTACAGCCCTGCCTACTCCCCCGACCCCTACTACCACTCCGAGTCAGAGTACTGGTCCTTCCAGGGATCCCCCAAAGGTAACAGCCATCCGTGGCACTGCGGGAATGGAAAACCCACAGAGTTTCCAACCCACATCACCCTGCATTGCACCTGGACCCAAAGATGGGGTTGAGCTGAGATACGTACCAGAGTGACCCCCAAATCCCAGCAGTCCTTGGGATCTGTCTGTCCCTGTGCCTCTGGGGGCCGTCTCCTGTCTCTGCCCCAATCTGACCCCCACATGTCTCCTTGCAGCCCCCCGAGCCCGGCGGTTCTCATCAGGAGGTGAAGAGGATGGCTATGAGCGGGGCATGCACAAGGTAAGAGGTTTCCCTGTTCGAGCCTGGTGGGGTGGTCACTGAGGGTGGCAGCGAGTCAGGAAGACACAAAGTGCGTCACCTCTTTGCCCAGAGGTGCCACGTGCCCTGGGATGCTTCCCAACCAGCACTGCCATCTCTCTGCCCAGATCCAGAGCGGCATCGGCAGGCTGATCCTGAGGGAGGAGATGAAGGCGCGCTCCAACTCCTACGCAGACCCCTGGACCCCGCCCCGCAGCTCTGCCAGCAGCAGAGAAGCCCTGCACACGGCTGGCTATGAGGGCTCCCTCAACGGCTGTAAGCACAACTGTCCGCCCCTCTGTCCCATGCAGGAAGGGGCTGGGAACAGGGGATGCACCCAGGAGACCCCTTTCTTCCGGAGGCTCTGTGCAGTCCCCATGCTCTCATGGGGCTGGGACTGTGTGGGGATGCCTGGGGAGCTCTGAGGAGGACCACGGGATGGGGGGGATCTCTGCATGGTGCAGAGTGCTCAACCCTCTGACCCTGGCTGTTCTCCCCTTGCAGCCCCCCGGATGCATTACCTGGCTGACAGTGGTGAGTGTACCACCCCTCATCCTTGGGGCATGGTCCTACCCAGGTGTGGAGACCAGAGGCTGAGAGCTGAGCCCAGAGAGCCATGCTGGGATTGGAGAGGTGTGGGGAGAGGAAGGAGCCCTGTGCTGTGCTAGGGCAGAGCAGAAGGGAAGAAGATTTTGAAAGGGGCTATTGAGATGGAGGAGGGAGGGCTGCCATGGGAGAGAAACACACTGGGAGGAGTTGGAAAGGAGACAGAGCCAGGTGAGTTTGGAGCTGGACAGAAATGAAGAAATAATGGAAATTCAAACAGGCTGTGAGCAGCTGGGTTGGGGAGGCAGGAACACATCTGTGCCATGCATGGGAGCAGTGGCCGAGGAGATGTGTCAGAAAAGGGGAGGTATGGGCATGCAGCAGTGCTGCTGGGTGCATTGGGCTGGCCCTGCAGTCTCACTCATGCTTCGTGGTGGTTTCCTTCCAGATCCCCTCATTTCCAAGTCAGCCTCTCTCCCTGCCTACAGGAGGAACGGGCTGCACAGGGTGAGTGCCTCCTGCTGCTCCCTTCTCTGCATCCCTGCTGCCATGCCTGGCTGTGCCAGTCCCAAATAACCCTCAGTGGGCACTGCCAGAGAGCTGTGCCTGCCCCACTGCAGGTCTCAATCCCTGTCCTGCAGCTCACATTGCTTTGCTTCACACCCTATAGTTTAGGAGACCTGGGCTTGTCACTTCCCTGTCGCTTGTGCTTCAGTTTCCTCACTGCCAGGCATGGGGGTGTCTTCCCCTTTTGGGGACATGAGAGATGCTGTGCTGGGAAGAAGACTGTCTGGAGGGGCCCCTTCTCACCCCTCCCTCTCTCCTTGAATCCCTCCCGCAGCCGCCCAGCGCGGAGCTTTTCCACTACGACAGCACCAACGCCGTCAACTGGGGGATGCGAGGTGAGGCTGTGGGGCAGCAGGCAGGGTGGGGGGCCAGCGGGTGCCGTGGGGCTGCCGCCCCACTGCAGGCAGCTCCAGAAATGGGATCTAGACCAGAGGGACTAAGGGCAGAGATGGGGGGGTCCCCGCAGCCCGGGAGGGGGCTGCTGGTGGGAGTGGCTCATGTCTCTTGTTTTTTTTTGTGTCCCACAGAGTACAAGGTAAGATGGCTCCCAGGCGTGACTGCCACCTGGAGGTGACACCCAGAGGAGGTCCCAGAGAGGTGCCCCTGTGTGCCCAGACCCTGTTAGGGAGAAGCTTTGCCCTCTCCCTGCCTTCTTCCCCCTCCAACCCCATCCCGACAGCCCATCCTGGCACTGTAGGGCTCCCAGCAGAGCTTCAGCTTCCTGCCTGAGTCCCCAGCCCTGTGCTAGGCAGCAGTGTCTCCCTGGCGCGAGGCAGAGGTGGGTGGCTGTGCTCGTGCTCCCAGCTCACATTCACCTCTGGGTCACTCCTGGCTTTGCAGAGCGAGTAGCAGAACTCTGATTCACCGTTTCAGAGCCACACAGGTGGATTAGGGTCACACCAAAAGCAAGCCACCTTCTACCCTGTCCCACCAAAGCCCTGCTGTGCTACTTAAGCCCCCCCCCAAAATGTGGCAGGGCGAGGCATTGTCCTGGTGCCCCATTGCTGGCTGTAGAGAGCTGCCATGGTGCTGCTGTCCCTGCGCAGATTTACCCCTATGAGCTGCTGCTGGTGAAGACAAGGGGAAGGAACCAGCTGCCCAAGGATGTGGACAGGACTCGGTTAGAGGTGAGGCATCTTCCAGTGGACACATCTCCTTGGGGCTTACCCTCCCTGGCCCACGTGGGGCAGTGAGGGGGGCTCATGGGCACGCAAGGAGCATCTCCTGTGCGAGCAGAGCTGCAGACTGCAGTCCCCTGTTGCACCCCTTTGGGGGGGTCTCACTGCCAGACCCCCTCCAGCTGCAGCCCTGCACTGCCATCAGCCTGGGATGGTGGCCCTGGCCCAGCAGCTCCTCTCTCCGCAGCGGCACCTCTCCCAGGAGGAGTTCTACCAGATCTTTGGCATGACCATCGCCGAGTTCGACCGCCTGGCCCTCTGGAAGAGGAACGAGCTGAAGAAGCAGGCGCGGCTGTTTTAAAGGCATTATAAATATATACATACCTATAAATATATACATAGAAAGATCTCTATATTGCAGCTCTGTATGATTCTCAGTACTGTACGTGGCAGAGGCACCCTCTGCTCCCCTGAGAGTGAATTGGAGTCTCACGGATAATTCTGTGCTCTTTGTTTCTTTTTCTTCTCGAGCTTTGATTCTGCATCCATCTTTGGGGGCTTCTGGGGGCTGAAGGTGGCAGGGTGGGGGGGTGCTGTCAGTGCTGACCCTCTGCAGCAGCCACAGCTCTGGAAGCCCTGTGCTGTGTGCTGAGGGTGGGAGTGGATGTGGTGACAGCACACCGGTAATTGCTGCTGTCAGCTTTAGTGCAGCAGTAATGAGCCAATTGGGTTTATAATGATTTCACCCATATAAACTACAGCTCCCTAAATCAAGCTCGGCTGTTTGGGGCTATGAAGAACTTCCAGCAGCAGTGCAAGAGATAAAGCCTGGAGAGGCCAGAGCTTCAGTTAATTCATAATAATAATGCCACAACAATGAGAAGCTTTTAATTTTCAAAACATTTTCTGAACATTAAGTAACTGTTCCTCACCACTCCCAGCACAGCAACGATAGGATAACTGGGCCAGAGTCCCGGCACACACCTTTGGGACAGCAGCCAGCCAGCAGCACCCCATGGGCTGCCATCGCTCAGGACGTGCTGAGTGACTGCCGTGACCCAGAGAACAGCGGATGCCTCACAGCAGCTGCAGTGCCCACGGTGCTGCTTTGGCTGTGCCATAGGGATGGCTGCGCCCTGTGCCCATAGCCCGGGGCGACCCTCTGGTTTGAGAGGGAACTGGGGCTCTGTCCCAAGGACAGAGACGAACGGGGGCACATCTCTGCGGGGCTGTGCGCAGGGGGAGCAGGGCTGGGCTGCTCAGGGGACCAGAAGGGGCTGCCGGCTCTATGGTGCCCCGCACTACAGGCGCCAGTTCTCGTCGGGGCACAGAGACAGCGGCAACGCAGGGCCGAGGGACGCCAGGAGAGAGCGAGCACGGAGAGCCCCGGGAACGGCGAGGCGAAGCACGGAGCTCCGCACGCGGCTCCGGAGCCGCCGGCACCCGGCGGGGCGGGGCAGCATCCCTGCGGGCGCGGCTCAAGGCGGGGCCGTGCCGGTGCTGCCCCGCGCCGAGGGAGGGGCGTTGCGGGACCGCCGGCACCGCGCCGCCACTCGCCAGTCCGCTCCTCCCGGGGCGGCCGCCGCTGCCCGCGGTGGGGACCATGGACCGGCTGAGCGGTGAGGGCACGGCGCGGGCGGCGGCACCGGGCGCCGCGGGGGAAAGGGCCGGGGGTCGATGTGCGTCGTCACCTGAGGCTGGGACGCGGGCTGGCGTTGGTCGGGCGGGCGAAAGGGCAGCGCCTTGCGGGAGGCTGTGCGGGGGATGAGCGCTCGGTGCGCTCGTCGAGGAGGAGGAGGTCCCGCGATTGAGGAGAGGGAGTTTCCGCGCCGCGGCCGTGGCACCGAGCGCCCGGGGCTGTCGGGTTGGAGCCGGACCGGCCCCGGTGCGGTGCCTGCGCTGCGGGGAAGGAGCGGCGTGGTGCTGCCCGTCAGTGCCGAGCGCTGCCCCGGGGCTGTGCGGCAGCAGGTAGAGGCGTGGGGAAGCATGCACGGGTCCCGGCCTTGGTTGGTACCGCAGCAGTACTAATGATGCCGGGGATGTGGCTCTGCAAGGCAAAGTCTCTGTGTGCGCTGCTCGGGGTCAGCGCCGGAGAGACCCGAGGGTCAGGAGTTCCCCCTCCCGATGGAAAAGGATGGGGTGGTGTTTCCGCAGTAGAAATGTGATGTGAGGAGTTCGAATCTGGGGATGCAGCACGCAGTGTTGTTGCTCAGTACATTGCCTGGCATCACAGGAGAGGACAGGAACAGGGACAGCCACCCCTTGCAATTCACCCAGCCCACCTGCCCCGCAGTGCTGGCTTTGAAGGAGGCTGCTGCTGCAGGAGGCCCAGAGGAGGCCCAGAGGACCTCATTGATGGGCAAAGGGGAAAGCTGTGCAGGCTGCTGGGAGGATGTCCCTCCTGTGATGGATGTCTACCCCCACATGATGAGCACTGAGGGCTCCCCACATCGTGGGGAGGTGATGGCATGCTGCTGAGCCCATACTGGCTTAGTAGAGATGAGCCCAGACGTGGCACAGGATGTGCATGGAGAGGTCCTTTTCCATGACTCCTGCATGGAGGTCCACTGCCCCAATGCCTGCCATACCCCACTTTGCAAAGGTTTCCCCACTGAGGCAGAGCTGTGCTGCTTCTTTTACCCCCTCATAGGTGCCTTCTATGGTAGTGGTGGAAGTGCCCGCTGCTTAACTTTCATTGTGTGTAATGAATGGCTGTTGGCACTCGGATTGCTTTTTGCTAATGTAAACCTTCTCCAGACTTTTCTGCTCATCACCAGAGCCACTGGATCCCTCTGAGGCTGTAGCTGTGCAGGGAGGGCATGGAGTTTTGGTGGATGAGGGGCCTCTGACTCAGTCCCCAGCCTCTCCATACTCTCTAGCAGCTACTCAATGCTGTGCCAATGGAGAGCTATGGATGTGCCTGTGATTTGGGGATGCTCCACACCATGAGCCTTGCTCCAGCTGGGCTGTACTTGCTTCTCCTCATTAATAACTCTTCTCTGACCTTTTGTGCCAGAAGAATTTCAATCTTGCACCATATCTGTGGTCTAAATCCAGTGAAGCCAGCAGAGATGTGTCAGGGATAAACTTGGCTCCAGCTCACCCACAAGAATGGGGAGGCATTGGGCTAGGAGGGAGGGAGCCAGGCTCATTCCTGACCTGCTGCCTGAGCCCCACATGCAGCCTGGTGAAGGGGCGAGGAGCTCTGAGGCCAGCTGTTAGCACCAGGCAAGTGCCGAGCTCTCCCCCGCATTGCAGCCATTCCTTCCGCTGGAAGCTGAGCTGCCTGGTGGCGGGGTCCTGTTTATAGCCCAGGGAATGGGGATGAGCTGGGCTGCCCCAGTGCAGGCAGGCAGTGTGTCATTGCCCCATGCAGCGGTGGGGCTGCTGGGCAGGGTGGGAAGCAGTGGGCTCATGCTGTGTTAGCACCTTCCAGGCAGTGAACCCAGGGATTCCTATCGCATGGGACTGCCTGGAAACCTGCCTCTTTCCAACGCTTGCTCTTGACCTGGAAGTGCTGTTTTCCGGTGGAAATGTGCTGAGCTGCATGCTGACGTGCCCCGTGCTACACAGCATACAGCAAAATGCTGCCTGCAGGAGGGCCGGCACTCCTCATCCCATCCCAGGAAAGCTTTGTATGAGGTTTTGAAGTTGTCTCATCCTGAACAGTTGGAGGGCTTTGTAGAGGAGAACAGGGAGTGAAAGCTGGGCTCGGCCCAGTGTTTGCCTGTTGTTCTGTGGCCAAGTTGCTTGCTGGGACACAAGATAAGGGTTTTGCAAAGTGGAGGCTTGAAGTGGTTTCTGACATCCCAGACTCACGTCCTAATCCTTTAACTCTTCCCTACACCAGTCCAGTCTGGCACAGCTAAAGGAACGAGTATTTCCTCCTGTGTGGAAGGAATCTTTTTCCCATGTAAATTAATGGCAAAACTGCCACTTCTACACAACCTGTATGGAATATCCCTCTCCCAGGGTAGGCAGCTTGGTCAGAAAATCCCTGAGGAGCTCTGCATTGTCCCTGCTTCACACAGCAGCCTTGGCATGAATAGTGCTGGGCCCTGCCACCCGCAGCCTGGACACTGCCATGGCCAACAACACCCGGCTGTCATCACCCCCAGCTGCCAAAAGCAGTGGCATCATTCAGTGAGCTCCAGCTCCTCTGTGCTAATGATCTGCAGCCTCTGTGGCAGGGAAGGATGAACATCTCTGATTTGGTGGGCCCACCCTATGGAACCTGCCTCGGGTTCTTCAGCCTCTTCGATTTTTGCTTCTGATAACACATCTCATCAAAGGAGGGCTTTTGGCAGGCAGGGAAAACACTGGCATTTCGTAACAGTTTGGAATGAGCGCAGATCTTTGCTGGGAGGAGTTTCTATGTTCAAAATCTTTTTTTTCTTTTTTTTTTTTTTTTTTTTTTTTTGAAGTGGGTTTTGCCTGCATGTGATCCTGGAAGCGATAGGAGCAAGCTCTGGGCGCCTCTGTGTGCTCTGATTGCTGGCAATTAGCAGGAGAGCTCCGGGGAGGTGTGTGAGGAGCAGCCTGAGCAGTGGCTGTGGTTTTCTCCTGGGTGCTTTTGAACATTTGACCCAGCAGACTCACCGATGGCAGAGCAGCCCATTTGTGTCTCACTGTCTGGCAGGTTCAGCCTCCATGTGACACAGTGCCAGTGTCATCTTATGCTTTTGGAAACTGAGGTTGTACAGGGCAGAGCCAGAAGTAGGAGATGTGTGGGAACAGGTTTGATAGCTGGCTTTTGTATGCCGAAGCTAAAAGCAGGTAGGGTGAACCAGTCCCAGCACCAATGGAGACATCAGCACTTTCTGGGCGGTCACACTGTCCTGTGTGCTTGGACTTGGCTTTCCCACCATGCTGCACTGGCTGTCCCGGCTCCACTCCTGCCTTGAAGGGGTTAAGTGGGTAGGAAATGCTGCAGGCTGGTGGCCTTGCTGCTGCACCTGATGCTCGCCAATGGAAGGAAACGGAAGGGCTGTTCTCAGCTGAGCAAACACGCTTATCCTGCCCTTGAGGATGCTACGGCAGCACGGCTCCGGCCCCCAAAGTGCAGAGACCTTATGGGTTCCCCCATGGTGTCCATCCCACAGGGCTGGGCAGGGCTGGTTCTGTGGTGCTGACTTCATAGCAATTTTGCCCCTATGGGATTTTTCTACCCCTGCTGGTTTTCACTCCTTCCACCACCTCCAGAAGAAGGTGTCCCCATCATGCAGCATGGCTGGATGCATTCAGAGAGGCAGAGCTAGCTCTGGCTGATTCCCCATCCATCCCGTTCCTGCAGCTCCTGTGTCCCCCCACCCTGCCCACTTCTAGGGGAGAGTCCTGTGTCCTCTTGTATACAATGGCACCATGGCACTTTTCCTTTAAGAAGCACATCTGCTGTATGGAGCTTTGGGGAAGGGTGATGCCTAGGACACAGAAAGCTTCCATCCATCCGTAGGGCTGGGATGCCCATTCAGGAGGTGCCTGCTGTGTCCCCTGCATGCAGGGTGTGCACCAGGCAGTGCCTCAGCCACCC